TTAATATATATATATAGTTTGATGAGTGTTAAAATGTCATGAATTAGATTGATGGGATACTAATGTGCAAGATTAAAAGAACAAAATTCAAATAAATTTGATTCTTAAATAATGCTGAAGATTTTTATGATTATTGTTTTTTTTATTGATTAATATGTAAAAGTTTAATATAATTTAAAATGGAGTTCAAAGTCACCATTAAAACATTTGTGGTTGGAAATTGTAAAGTACTACATTTCAAATTTCTTCAATTAATAATGAAAGTTTAGTTTACATAAAAAATGATAGAATCTTTTAAGCGTAAGTCTTTGTTAAGTTATATCAATTTAGAGAATAAATGACTCATTAATTAAAACAAAACGATGTTGTTATAAACCTAGAATTAGTGAAACATTTAACATCAAAAGGATAATATGATTAATAGAATAATAAAAGAAAAGGAAAATGGAAATTTTTTTGGAAGTAATAAAGAATAGATGCAGGTGGACTTTACAATGATAATGGGCTTAAAGTTGGAAAATGGATAGAATTGTTTGAAAATTTTTGGGAGTATAATGAATCTGAGCTCTAATAGAAAAGCCAAAATATTTTATGAAGGAGAATATTAAGATGGGAAAAAAATTGGATAGTGGAATAGTATATATTTAGAGAAGATAATGTAAATATAATTAAAGAAATATAGAGGAGGAGGTTATTTTAATGATGATGGATTAAAGACTGGAAAATGGATTGAATTACATCCTAATTTTTATGAGTACATTATTTAGATATATAATGAAGATTATCTGAAATGTTTTACGTTGGGGAATATCAATTAGGAAAAAGAATTGGATTTTGGAATTTAATTAATAAGAAGAAATAAATGTAAAAAATTGAATTATTTTATAGAGGTGGAGGAGTTTATAATGAAAATGGATTAAAAGATGGTAAATGGATTGAACCACACGAACATTATTTTAAGTATTTAATCGTTTTCAATATCAGCTTTTGTTAAGTAATATTTGTTGGTTCATATTAAAATGGAAGAAAATGTGGAAAATGGGAAACTTTGCACTAGCAACTAGGAAATATAAATTATATTGTTATTGGTGGAGGAGTATATGATGATTTTGATGTTAAAAATGGAATGTGGAAAGAGCTGCATGCTAATTTTTAAGAGTACATAAATTTTTATTGTTAAGTTTTTCAGTAGTAATTAATGAAGGACTTTATTAAGATGGTTAAAAAATTGGAAATTGGAATACTTTGTATAGAAAATATGGAGATGAAGAATTTTAGACTATGTAACAATAAAATTTAATCTTTAGAGGATCAGGATTTTATGATGAAGATGGTTATAAGAATGGAATTTGGAAGGAAGTAGATGTCAATTTTTGGGAGTAAATTTTTAATTAATATAAAATTAGTGAATGTATAGTATTTCATACTGGCTAATATCATAAAGGAAAGAAATTATACAAATGGGATACATTTAATTAAAATTAGTTAATGTAATTTAATAGCTATTTAATAGAGGTGGTGGCTAATACAATATTGAAGGTAAGAAACAAGGTAAGTGGATTGATATAGATGAAAATTACTCAACGTAATAAAAATAGTTACAATAATAGATCTCGATCAATTTTATATGAAGGAGAATACAAAAATGGAAGAAAAGTTGGAACTTGGTCCATCTTAAAATATATTTGTAAAGAAATAACTTTAATCATGTAAATATATATTGATAATGACAGTGGTGGTGGTACATATGATGATGGTGAAATGAAAAATGGAAAATGGCATGAGTTATTTGATAATTACAGAGAGTAAAATAATTATTAATTGATCTAGAAATTGTTAAGCTATTTAGATAGGTAGCTATATGAATGGAAAAATTTATGGAAATTGGAATTATATTTATAAGCACTATAATTCATTAAATTTTCATAAAATGTAAATTTTATTATATTAAACTAGAGGCGGAGGATAATATGATAACAATGGAAAAAGGGATGGAGTATGGTTGGAATTATATGAAAATTTTTCAGAGTATTATTTTATTGGATTTATTTTTAGAAATTGTTAAGTCATTTTAGTGGGAGAATATCAAAATGGTTATAAACAAGGAAGATGGAATTCATTTTTTAGAGGTTGTAATGAATATACTTATAAAACACTGTAAATTTTCATTAAAGACATTAATTAGTGGAGGAGGTATTTATTAAGAGGATGGTTTAAAAAATGGAAAATGGATAGAAATACATGAAAACTTTTCAAAGTATTAATAATCAATTATTGTCTTTTAGTTATTGGTAGCAAATAATTGATGTCGAATATTAAAATGGCATTAAACAGAAAATAATATGAATCTATAAATATAATTCAATATTAAGGTAAAAATATAAAAATTTTGTTTCATTTCATTTTCATTTTATATATAATGTTATGTATTTCAAATCTAAATATAATTATTATATTAGGTGCTTTAAGCATTTATTAAATTTTTTACATATCTTAATTTAACAAAAAATAAAATAGAAGAAATACTAAAATATAAGAATTCTTGTATAACTTTATGAAAAAGTAAATAAAATTTTAATTATCATTAAGACATTTATTTAAGAAATAATAATAATAATATATTTATTCTATTAAAAATTGCCAAATTCTTAAATTTAAACTATTTGATTTTTCTATAAGAAACACTTAGTAAAATAAAGAAGCATACCTGCTTATTCTGAACAGTTAGATATTAAATAAACTATTAATGTTTTCTTTATGAAAGGTAATCAAATTAAATATTCTATTGAGATTGATTAAACAAAAGAATTAACTCATAAATAGAGAATAATTCTGATAATTAAGAAATTTTTATATCTTTTTTATTTAGTAGATAGTAATATGATTAGTTAAAATTTGTAAATCAATGAAAAAATTGTGAAAATGAAAATGAATCCTATAAATTTGCCTACCAATTTTACAAATTTAAACAAAAAAATTTTAAGCTAAACCAGATCTTTATGTTTAACAGAAATTTTAGATTAAAATGTATCTTATTTAAGATCAATTTAATAATGATTATAGAATAAATATCAAAAAGTAATCATTCTGCTTGATTAAATTTAAAAGATAAGTTTATATAAAAGAAGAAGTATAAAGTATAATTATAATTTAAATTAAAGAACTCAGATGATTAAATGATATATTGAATTAATTTATCATTTAATCCAAAAAGCAGAGCTAGGTAATTTCTGATTATTTGGTTTTATAAAATTTGAGAATAATCTCAAATAAGTATTCTTTACACTTGAATAAATCCATCTAATGTTATTTTTTTATAGTTTGTATAGAGAAATTTGATTATTTAATATCATCAACGATTATATGGTTGATTTAGAAATTTATATATAATTAAAGAAGAAAATTTGTAGGTGAAAATTTAGCTTTATGTCAATTTATAATTATTTGTAAATGTTTAAGAAGCAGGTACAGTAATAAATACTATTAATATTGGTTCAAAATTTTTGATTTAGCGACATAGATGATCTATATTTAATAAAGGAAAATTAAAATTAATAAAAAAGATGCAGAAAATATACTCCCAATATTTTTGTATTCAAAATATTCGAATGTATTTCCCTATCAAAACTTAGGTAATAAAATATTAAGAAAGAAGAAATTGAGAAAATTGATTGGCTATTTTCAATTACTTGATGAAGTTTTCAAGGATAACTATCAAGATATTTTAATGTTAATGGGAATTATTTTTTTGTCTTTCACCAAAGTTTTCTTGAAGATGAATCAGAAAAACCATATTTTCAAATTTTTTTATTAATAATAGTTCAGAGAAATATGTATTATGATGAAACTGAAAGAAAACTATGTTTGATACTTAAAAAAAAATAAAATAAATTATTAAATTTAATTAAAAGGATTCTCCAGGATTTTATAGGATGAAAAAAATGACATAGAATAGCTAGTATTTATATATATTTGTTATTATATTCTAAAAATTTGACCTTATAATTTTATTGCTTTAAAAAATTCAAGTGTATTATACTTTATTAATTTAGCTTTATATTTGAATAGTATATGATGTCGAATTAAACAACTAAAATTTTTACCAAATTACAACTTTTTAATTCTGAAAAGATAAATGCACATTCTATAATATGTGTGAAATTTTACTCTAAATTTTATTTCATTACTTTTTTAAGTGATAATAAAGATAAATAAATGGGAAAATACATTTTAATTTTGTAAATCAAATTCTATTGATTGACCCAAAAAGTATTTCAACCTTGCAATTAGGCGGTAATAAAATATATATATTCATAATTTAGGGCTGAATCAACATGAAATATATTTATTATTTATATATTTGACAGAACTTTAATGAATCAGATATACACTTTGATTTAATGATATATAATTATTCAAACTTGGAACTGAAAATTCTGATTTTACTCAGATATAAAAATTTGAATGTTATATTTTGTTAGAATCTGAGAATTTCATTATGGAATTTAAGAAACCAAAAATTGGTAGATATGAAAATTTAATTGAATATTTTGATCAATTAAATTATAATTTGTAATCAAAAATTTTATTAAAACTATTAATAAGTTATTTAATTAAATTATGAAATAGATATAAGTATTTATTTATTTATTTTATTGCTTTAAACTCAAAGGATAATTTTATCAATTCTGATATTAAATAATGTTCACTTCATGATATTCTTTTATTAAATTACTTCGAACATACATATTGTGTACCATAGCAGTATCAATTATATATTAAACTATTGTTATCCAAAATGTATAATAATAAGTAATCTTTTTTAATTGTTAATTTAACTTTTAAAATTATTACTAATTAGTAGTACTAATTATAATTTGTATTAATATTTCACAAATTATTTTTGATATAATATTATCAATTTAGTTAAATTCTAATTTAATTAAATCATTCTTCAGAAATTAAAATAAGAAATAATCAGAAAGAACTTAAACATTAAAAAAAATTAAACTGAAGTAATTTGGAATATTTTTATTAATATTATGTATAATCCATCCATTTCTTATTCTCTATTCATTCTTGATAATTCAACTCCTCTCTTTAATTTAAATAATATTTTATACTATTTTTTAAATCCTTACTCAATATTCCATTTTTCTCTCTTTAATTCTACCCATTTTCCAATCTTTTTACCTTCTTTATAATGTCCCTAATGAATGATTTATTTGGAGCTATTATTATTATTCATTTTAACAATTTTAATACATTTTGAAATCTTCATCCAACTCTATCCAGATTCCATTCTCAATTCCTTCTTAATCATAAAATCCACAACTTCTAAAAATAAAAGAAGATACTATTGATATTTACATTTCTTCAAATCTTTCAGAAAATCTAAAATAAGTATCCCATACACCAACTTTTTATCCGCAATTATATTCCCCTTAATAAGTGACCTATTTATCTCTAATATTGATATTATAAATATATATTAATTACTAATTGAAATCATTAGCCAATTCGATCCAAATCCTCTTCTTTTAACCATTATCGTCATATAATCCACCACCTCTAATAAAAAAATTAAATAATAATTTATTTTGATACAATTTTTCCAAGTATATATTCTACTTCCAATAGATATTCCATTTACCAGTTTTCTTTCCAAAAAAATATTCTCCTTAATATATAACTTAACTTAAACTAAAAAGATGATAAAATATTTATTAAATTACTTAGAAAAACACTCGTTAATTTCAACCCAACTTCCAATTTTAAAACCTTGCTCATTATAAAAACCACCTCCTCTAAAAATTATATAGTTGATTAATAAATTAAACTACATTTATTCAAATTTATTAGACTTCCTAAGAATGATATCCCATCTACCTATTTTTCTTCCTTATTTATACTTACCATGATAAGTGATTTAGCTATCCCTATTTAATAATATCATTATTTTTAATACTATCTAAAATCATCACTCAACTCAATCCAATATTCTTGCTTAATACCTTTAACATCATAATATCCGCCACCACTAATATCAGATTAAATAATAATTAATTTAGTACATTTATTCTTATTAATCTTTTTATTTATATATCGTAACCCATGACTTTATTTTTTTTCCATTTTAGTATTCTCCCTCATAGGTAACTTAACTATAACTATATAGTTAAAATAGTAAACAATTTAATTACTTATAAAAATTATCACTTAGCTCAATCCATCTACCATTCTTAATACCCCCGTTCTCATATGATCCACCGCCACTAAATTTAAAAATAAATAATAATATGATTTACATTAATTAAAATTCACTTTAAAATAGACCCTCAACTCTAAAATAAGTATCCCATCTACCAACTTTTTGACAATTTTAATATTCTCCATTAAATGTAACTTATTTTTAACTAAATAATTATGAATAATCTTTATTGTTTTATACCGATAGAAATTATCAATTAAATCTATCCATTTGCCATCCTTAATCCCTTACATGTTGTATGATCCACCACCACTATATTAAAATTGATATAAATAATTTTATACATCTATTCAAATGGATAAACACTTGAAAATCTGTAATTAATATCCCATTTATCAATTTTTTTGTCATTTTTATATTCACCACTATAAGTGATATAAGAATTGCTAAATATTAAAGATATCCAATACTTTGAAAAATTGTCACTTAATTCAATCCATCTACCATTCTTTAAATATTTATCATCATATTTTCCACCACCTCTATAAATGATATTTAAATTTCATAATACATCTCCTTATCTTCATATTCATATTTCCATGTTCCACTTCTTTAACCATCTTAATACTCTCCAACTTAATAAGCTTGTGATAAGCTAACAATATTATTTTATGTTTACGTCCAATAATTCTATATCGGTTCTTTCCAGAAGCCTTACTTTAGTCCATTAGAGTACTATCCACCAATATCTTGTAAGACTTTGCCTTTCCAATTTACTGCCCATCTACCAAGTTAATTTAAATTAGGTTTTTATATTTCAAACCAAAATAGATATTTGATCTATTCCAAGTTATTTAATATTTAAGTAAAATTTTCTAATGAATCTCTAAATTAGAATTTATAATATTCAATACACTCTTAAACTAAACTCATCATTAGTTGAGTATTTTATTTTCTTATTTTTTGTTTATGCAATATAGAATTTAACTTAGAAATATCTGTTCCAATAGTAATCCCATAGTATACCAAGTTATTCAAATTTGCCATTTTACAAAATATCAGGATTTATCTAAATCTAAGTTATTGTATGTTAGGTTTGATCTTTAAATAAATTCATTATTATTAGCTTTTAATTTATTTTATTTTATTCATAGTTTTTTTTTTTAAATTACTTTAATCAATTTTATGAATTTTGTTAAGTTCTAAAATAAAGTATCATAATTTAAAATTTAAAATAATATGGAATTTAACATTATACTATGTAAAATGTTGAAAATAAGTAATCAATTAAGAAATTACTAATTTTAAATATCAAATCTATACTTCATTTAAAAATTAGATAAATGGATATTTATAATTAATTTCCCTTCAAATTAATTAATCGGAGATGAACCCTTCCTAATATTTTAATAATTTACTAAAAGATATTCAAATTAAAAGAATTTAGATATAAAGCTTAAAACTGAGCTAATAAATTTGAATATTAATTGTAAAATTATAGATTTAGGAATGCATAGATGAGATAGTTCAATGATAGATCATTCATAAATAATTATTTACCTAGATTAGAATTGTAATTTATTTAGAACATTTTTTAATTAGTGTATGCATTCATTACTCTCAAAATATGTTACATTTCATTTGAACATTTTTAGAAAGAAATTCAACAATCTCAGGTTAGAGAAAACTGGGATATATCTTTATAAAGTTAAGAAAAGAGAATTAATATAATTTAACTAAACTAGTTTACTTTTTGAATTTTCCTAGAGACAATTATAAAATAACCTGAAAATGTTATGAATTAAAATGAGAATTAAATTGATAACGTAGAATAAATTTAATATTCAACTTTTAATGATGAAAGGATGTTAAATAAATAAATCTAATAATTAATTATAATGATAGATGAAGAGGCGAAATAATATAAGTAGAAATTTGTTCTGGTGCTCTTAAAAAACTAAAGCATTAAACATGATTGATCCCATTGGAAGAAGGCAGTTTTATTTAACTCATAAATAGCTATCAAGTAAATTTTGTTAAGACAGGAGATGAAAAGATTTAATATATTATGTGAAGGTGATCTTAAAAATAATATGCATATAGGAAAATGGATAGCTATATTCATGATGTAGGTNTATTTGATCTATTCCAAGTTATTTAATATTTAAGTAAAATTTTCTAATGAATCTCTAAATTAGAATTTATAATATTCAATACACTCTTAAACTAAACTCATCATTAGTTGAGTATTTTATTTTCTTATTTTTTGTTTATGCAATATAGAATTTAACTTAGAAATATCTGTTCCAATAGTAATCCCATAGTATACCAAGTTATTCAAATTTGCCATTTTACAAAATATCAGGATTTATCTAAATCTAAGTTATTGTATGTTAGGTTTGATCTTTAAATAAATTCATTATTATTAGCTTTTAATTTATTTTATTTTATTCATAGTTTTTTTTTTTAAATTACTTTAATCAATTTTATGAATTTTGTTAAGTTCTAAAATAAAGTATCATAATTTAAAATTTAAAATAATATGGAATTTAACATTATACTATGTAAAATGTTGAAAATAAGTAATCAATTAAGAAATTACTAATTTTAAATATCAAATCTATACTTCATTTAAAAATTAGATAAATGGATATTTATAATTAATTTCCCTTCAAATTAATTAATCGGAGATGAACCCTTCCTAATATTTTAATAATTTACTAAAAGATATTCAAATTAAAAGAATTTAGATATAAAGCTTAAAACTGAGCTAATAAATTTGAATATTAATTGTAAAATTATAGATTTAGGAATGCATAGATGAGATAGTTCAATGATAGATCATTCATAAATAATTATTTACCTAGATTAGAATTGTAATTTATTTAGAACATTTTTTAATTAGTGTATGCATTCATTACTCTCAAAATATGTTACATTTCATTTGAACATTTTTAGAAAGAAATTCAACAATCTCAGGTTAGAGAAAACTGGGATATATCTTTATAAAGTTAAGAAAAGAGAATTAATATAATTTAACTAAACTAGTTTACTTTTTGAATTTTCCTAGAGACAATTATAAAATAACCTGAAAATGTTATGAATTAAAATGAGAATTAAATTGATAACGTAGAATAAATTTAATATTCAACTTTTAATGATGAAAGGATGTTAAATAAATAAATCTAATAATTAATTATAATGATAGATGAAGAGGCGAAATAATATAAGTAGAAATTTGTTCTGGTGCTCTTAAAAAACTAAAGCATTAAACATGATTGATCCCATTGGAAGAAGGCAGTTTTATTTAACTCATAAATAGCTATCAAGTAAATTTTGTTAAGACAGGAGATGAAAAGATTTAATATATTATGTGAAGGTGATCTTAAAAATAATATGCATATAGGAAAATGGATAGCTATATTCATGATGTAGGTGGATAATTGAGAGTAAAATAACACTAAACAGTTCACTAAATTATACAAAAATGATGAAAAAACGTTCTAAATGTTAAGAACTAAATGAAATATTATTGAAAGTAAGCTTAATTAAATATGCTCATTGTATAAAGAAGTTAAGTATGAGAATGACTAAAGTATAGGCAATTGGAATAATTTTCGTAGGATAACACAACACAATGGATTAATAGATGTATTAGGTTTGCAATGATTATCAGATAAAAAATTTTTAGATAAATCTTAAATAATATATATGGGGAATATCAAAATGGAAAAAAAGGTTGCTAATTTAGATACGAGGTATAAAGGAGTAGAAATGTTATTTTAAGATATAAAACTTAAGAGGTGAGTTTAAAGAAGTATGAAAAAAATGAATAAAGTATTGATAAATTATATATTGTTAGTTATTAAAATCATTAATAGATTATGTTTTAATTTTTCTATTCATTTTATAAATCCAATCTATTGATTAGAGATCTAAATTTGATAATAAGTTATAAAATATAACAGTTAATAATCATCCTTTAATATTTTATTATATTAAATACATTATATTTATTTATTATGCATTTTATATTAAAATAAAAATATTAAATAGATATATTTTTCAAATATAAAATAAATTCTATAAATTTTTTCATCTTATCAAAAAGAAGAAATAGTTTGAAAATAAATATATAAATTTCTATCAAATAATGATTATTATTTAATATCATATATTTCTCCTTTTTATCAATCATACGATTGGGTATTACTTTCTTGATTCGTCACTTCTTATCTTATTTCATATTAAGGCATATATATTTCTGAAATGTCCCTTAATTCCTATGATCCTCCTCCCTTAAACAAAATTCCAGTGGTTTGTGAATGACATGAACATAACATAACAAGAAAAAAAAATAGTGTAAAAATTCCTATTAATGTTACAAAAAATATGCCAATTTGGTATTGCAACAAATGTAGAGAAGGAATAAAAAGAAGTGTTAAAATAAAACATCTAATTGCAGCCCATTTAAAAGACTTCCAACAAATAGTTCCTTCAATTTCTTAATTACACTTGATACAAATCCTTTTAGGCTGATATTATGAAGTTAGCAAAGTTGAATACATTAATAGTTAATTCTCAAATTTTTAAATTAATATTTAAGTTATCAAATTATCTTTAATAAACTATATAATGGCAAAATTGTGTTAAAATCAATAAAATATGATTTCTAAAAATTTTTAGTTTTACATAATTTTTTGTTTCTCCGATTAATTTATTTTCTTCTAATTAACGAATTGAATAAGAATGAATACTCTATTTTAACTAATATATTATAATAATTAATTGTTTATGTCTTATAATAAACAGTTATTTCATTGATATTTGGATTATCATCTAACATCTCTTTCATCATAATAAGATTCTTAAATTGGATAGTATCTTTAAAGTTATTAAAACATTATTTCAATATCTCATATATTATTAGATATCAGAACACATAACTGCCCTTAATAATAGAATAAATTATCTTAATATAGGTAAATTCTCAAATTTCCTCTTATATTGACTCTGAATGTATACTATTTGATCTTATTATTCTTTGTATTTTAATATTGAAATTCAAAGCCTATTTAAAGAGGTAGTTTATATTTATTAGAAATTTTTTTCTTATGATTTGAACAATTAATTGGAGTATTTTGGATATTGATCTTTAAGTATTAAAATATCTATTGCAATACTTTTTTAAACTTTGAAGATTTATATATTTGAAATAGATATGTAATTATATTATTCTATTGATCAACCTTAATTCATAGAATATAATTAGCTTCAATTAAATTTATTTAATTTTTAGTGTTATTAAATATAATTAAAAATTTTACAATATATAAATTATTGTTAATGATTTAGTTATTGCTCTATTCATAAGAATTTATTCAACATTTTATTCCAATCTAAAATAGTTATATTTTCATTTCATAACTTAAATTGATAATGAATCTCCCATTTTCATATGAGGTGGCTTAAATATCTTTTAAACAATGTTGAACTTTCCTATTAAATGAAATAGAAGATGACAAGAATTTATTTATTTATACAATAATTATATTTTAAGTTAAAAATTTGTAGTATTATTATAGAATCATATTTTGATAATAAGAATACTAAAGAGTAATATAAATGACATATATGTATAAAAATTGACTTTGCTAATTCTTATATATTTGTTGTTTTAGTTTTTAATTTTAAAATAAATAATTTCTAAAATAATAAAAATATATGATTGACCTTATTGAAATAATNCTTAAGAGGTGAGTTTAAAGAAGTATGAAAAAAATGAATAAAGTATTGATAAATTATATATTGTTAGTTATTAAAATCATTAATAGATTATGTTTTAATTTTTCTATTCATTTTATAAATCCAATCTATTGATTAGAGATCTAAATTTGATAATAAGTTATAAAATATAACAGTTAATAATCATCCTTTAATATTTTATTATATTAAATACATTATATTTATTTATTATGCATTTTATATTAAAATAAAAATATTAAATAGATATATTTTTCAAATATAAAATAAATTCTATAAATTTTTTCATCTTATCAAAAAGAAGAAATAGTTTGAAAATAAATATATAAATTTCTATCAAATAATGATTATTATTTAATATCATATATTTCTCCTTTTTATCAATCATACGATTGGGTATTACTTTCTTGATTCGTCACTTCTTATCTTATTTCATATTAAGGCATATATATTTCTGAAATGTCCCTTAATTCCTATGATCCTCCTCCCTTAAACAAAATTCCAGTGGTTTGTGAATGACATGAACATAACATAACAAGAAAAAAAAATAGTGTAAAAATTCCTATTAATGTTACAAAAAATATGCCAATTTGGTATTGCAACAAATGTAGAGAAGGAATAAAAAGAAGTGTTAAAATAAAACATCTAATTGCAGCCCATTTAAAAGACTTCCAACAAATAGTTCCTTCAATTTCTTAATTACACTTGATACAAATCCTTTTAGGCTGATATTATGAAGTTAGCAAAGTTGAATACATTAATAGTTAATTCTCAAATTTTTAAATTAATATTTAAGTTATCAAATTATCTTTAATAAACTATATAATGGCAAAATTGTGTTAAAATCAATAAAATATGATTTCTAAAAATTTTTAGTTTTACATAATTTTTTGTTTCTCCGATTAATTTATTTTCTTCTAATTAACGAATTGAATAAGAATGAATACTCTATTTTAACTAATATATTATAATAATTAATTGTTTATGTCTTATAATAAACAGTTATTTCATTGATATTTGGATTATCATCTAACATCTCTTTCATCATAATAAGATTCTTAAATTGGATAGTATCTTTAAAGTTATTAAAACATTATTTCAATATCTCATATATTATTAGATATCAGAACACATAACTGCCCTTAATAATAGAATAAATTATCTTAATATAGGTAAATTCTCAAATTTCCTCTTATATTGACTCTGAATGTATACTATTTGATCTTATTATTCTTTGTATTTTAATATTGAAATTCAAAGCCTATTTAAAGAGGTAGTTTATATTTATTAGAAATTTTTTTCTTATGATTTGAACAATTAATTGGAGTATTTTGGATATTGATCTTTAAGTATTAAAATATCTATTGCAATACTTTTTTAAACTTTGAAGATTTATATATTTGAAATAGATATGTAATTATATTATTCTATTGATCAACCTTAATTCATAGAATATAATTAGCTTCAATTAAATTTATTTAATTTTTAGTGTTATTAAATATAATTAAAAATTTTACAATATATAAATTATTGTTAATGATTTAGTTATTGCTCTATTCATAAGAATTTATTCAACATTTTATTCCAATCTAAAATAGTTATATTTTCATTTCATAACTTAAATTGATAATGAATCTCCCATTTTCATATGAGGTGGCTTAAATATCTTTTAAACAATGTTGAACTTTCCTATTAAATGAAATAGAAGATGACAAGAATTTATTTATTTATACAATAATTATATTTTAAGTTAAAAATTTGTAGTATTATTATAGAATCATATTTTGATAATAAGAATACTAAAGAGTAATATAAATGACATATATGTATAAAAATTGACTTTGCTAATTCTTATATATTTGTTGTTTTAGTTTTTAATTTTAAAATAAATAATTTCTAAAATAATAAAAATATATGATTGACCTTATTGAAATAATGTCTATTGATAATATATTATGTTTTAATAGATTTGTTCATTAAGACCTCAATAAAATTTATTTTATATAAATAAAATAGGAATTTTTATAATTTCATTACGACCATTATTACGCAATTTTCATTTAAGTATGATATATCAATTTAAATTGAAGTTATTTCATTTATTTAATGTAAGTATATCAAGAATAAACCTTCACAGAATCAAAATAATTGACTTATGATGAGGCATTAACATAAGTTGGTGGAGCAGGGTTATATTAAAAAAGAGCTTTCTTAATATTTGGATTGTAATGGCTAATAACCAGGTTAATTAGAAATATTAAATTTTTTAGTTGGATATTGTTTTCACCTGTTTTCTTTTTTATCAAACCAACAATAGATTGTCGGTCTAATGCTGAATGTCTAAATTAGTGTTCTTCTGAATCATTAGATGAGAAATGTTTAGATTATGTTTGTGTAAATGATTTTAATAATTTAGGATGATTCAATACGTAGAGAATTTGTTGTTGGTGAATCATTAAATACAGCTTTCGATGCTTTATTACCTTGTCACAAAACTCTATAATCAATAATCTAATCTACTGTTTATCTTGGATCTGTCTCAGGATTGATTATTTTCTCATTTATTGCTGATAATTATGGTAGAAAATTGTCATTGTCAATTTCTTGGGCTATGACTTCATTTGGAGCCCTCTTAGTTACAGTATTCTATATGAATAATCTTTAAGTTTGCTATGAATTATTAGATGATAGCTATAGGACTTTTCTTCTTAGGTTTTGGAGGTAATCCAACAATTACTGTACATTATTCATTTATTAATGAACATTCCTGTAATTTAATTATATCAAAGATTTTATATAGAGGGTAATTTTAGAGAGGTCTAAAATGTTGGTGTCTAAGTGTTTTTTGCAATTGGTGAATTTGCTATTATAGCATTAGCATATTTTATTACTTATTGGAGATGGTTAGCAGTTTCAGTTGCAATACCATCTATTTTATTAAATATTGGTAACCTTTTGATATTTGAATCTCCTTAATTTTTATATACAAAAAATAAGAAAAAATGTGTAAAGATTCTAAATTAAATTGCAAAATTAAATGGAACTTAATATATAAAAATAGATGATTTGGCAACTAATCCATAAACAAAAGAGAACAATTCCAGGGTATATTCTATTTTGGATTTATTAAAATATAAATCCTTAAGGTATGTATTTTTTGCAGGAGTAATGATGTTTTTTGCAATAAAGGTGACATATTATGGAATTAGTTTTGTAAGTGATTAGTTAGGTCTCAATTTCTTCACTACTAATTTCATTATTGCTTTCTTTGAACTCTTAGCTTTTGCTACTTTAGGTAATATATCTACATATTTTTAGATTTTTTTATTACAAAATTGAAAAGAAAAACAAACATTATAAGTGGGTTCTTTATTGTAGGATTTATGAGCTTATATTTCCTTTTCTAAAGTGATCACATAGTATTTCGAATCTTCGAAGGCATTTTGGCAGGAGTATATTTATTATATAATTGTAATAGTTAATGAGATTTCTAATATGTGCAGTTTGGGCTTTGGGTTATATTTATGTGTCTGAACTATTTCCTTCTGTTGTTAGATCTTTAGCCTTATGTTTAATATCAGCAGGCGGATCTTTTGGCAGTATAGCTTAAGCATTTTTAAGTAATTTATGCTCATCTCTTAATGTTCATCCTATGGTTGCTTTTGGGATCATTTGTGTTTTATGTGCTTTACTATTGTTTCCATTAAGAGAAACTTTACATTAGCCTTTGAGAGAAAAAATCGAAGAAGACTAAACTCGTATTAGATCAAGTATGCTTCATATAAACGATTCAGAACAAATTACATCACCCTTACATGATACATGATTATATTTTAATTTATATTATTTGTAAGAATAAAAATATTTCATTTTTAGGATCCATTAGATTTAAATAAGATTAAGACTCTATTAAATCTAATAAGGGGGAGGAGGGAGGGTTTATTTTAGGTGATAATTTTAAATAAAATTAAAATGATTATAGCAAATAGGATTAGAAAAGAAATTATTTCATGACATCGTTACTTAAATTATGATATTAAAGCTAAGCTTAATCATTAAAAGACATATTCAATTTATGAGCAAGTATTGGTAGACCAGATTCTAATTTTACTTTGCCTTTATATACTACTATATAATAGAATTCAAGATCCAAAATTGATCCTTACAAAAAATATTTAAATTCTTAATTCAACTTCACAAATTAATGAATAATCACTTGTTTTAAGTTATGATTAGAATAATAAACGAAAAATAATAAGACTATTATTTTATTAGTGTTATTAATCTAAATCATAATCACTAATTATTTATGAACTAATTCATACCTATAAAGTGTTTAAAGATCATATTTATTTGTCTTTAATTAATTTTAATTATTNGCTGATAATTATGGTAGAAAATTGTCATTGTCAATTTCTTGGGCTATGACTTCATTTGGAGCCCTCTTAGTTACAGTATTCTATATGAATAATCTTTAAGTTTGCTATGAATTATTAGATGATAGCTATAGGACTTTTCTTCTTAGGTTTTGGAGGTAATCCAACAATTACTGTACATTATTCATTTATTAATGAACATTCCTGTAATTTAATTATATCAAAGATTTTATATAGAGGGTAATTTTAGAGAGGTCTAAAATGTTGGTGTCTAAGTGTTTTTTGCAATTGGTGAATTTGCTATTATAGCATTAGCATATTTTATTACTTATTGGAGATGGTTAGCAGTTTCAGTTGCAATACCATCTATTTTATTAAATATTGGTAACCTTTTGATATTTGAATCTCCTTAATTTTTATATACAAAAAATAAGAAAAAATGTGTAAAGATTCTAAATTAAATTGCAAAATTAAATGGAACTTAATATATAAAAATAGATGATTTGGCAACTAATCCATAAACAAAAGAGAACAATTCCAGGGTATATTCTATTTTGGATTTATTAAAATATAAATCCTTAAGGTATGTATTTTTTGCAGGAGTAATGATGTTTTTTGCAATAAAGGTGACATATTATGGAATTAGTTTTGTAAGTGATTAGTTAGGTCTCAATTTCTTCACTACTAATTTCATTATTGCTTTCTTTGAACTCTTAGCTTTTGCTACTTTAGGTAATATATCTACATATTTTTAGATTTTTTTATTACAAAATTGAAAAGAAAAACAAACATTATAAGTGGGTTCTTTATTGTAGGATTTATGAGCTTATATTTCCTTTTCTAAAGTGATCACATAGTATTTCGAATCTTCGAAGGCATTTTGGCAGGAGTATATTTATTATATAATTGTAATAGTTAATGAGATTTCTAATATGTGCAGTTTGGGCTTTGGGTTATATTTATGTGTCTGAACTATTTCCTTCTGTTGTTAGATCTTTAGCCTTATGTTTAATATCAGCAGGCGGATCTTTTGGCAGTATAGCTTAAGCATTTTTAAGTAATTTATGCTCATCTCTTAATGTTCATCCTATGGTTGCTTTTGGGATCATTTGTGTTTTATGTGCTTTACTATTGTTTCCATTAAGAGAAACTTTACATTAGCCTTTGAGAGAAAAAATCGAAGAAGACTAAACTCGTATTAGATCAAGTATGCTTCATATAAACGATTCAGAACAAATTACATCACCCTTACATGATACATGATTATATTTTAATTTATATTATTTGTAAGAATAAAAATATTTCATTTTTAGGATCCATTAGATTTAAATAAGATTAAGACTCTATTAAATCTAATAAGGGGGAGGAGGGAGGGTTTATTTTAGGTGATAATTTTAAATAAAATTAAAATGATTATAGCAAATAGGATTAGAAAAGAAATTATTTCATGACATCGTTACTTAAATTATGATATTAAAGCTAAGCTTAATCATTAAAAGACATATTCAATTTATGAGCAAGTATTGGTAGACCAGATTCTAATTTTACTTTGCCTTTATATACTACTATATAATAGAATTCAAGATCCAAAATTGATCCTTACAAAAAATATTTAAATTCTTAATTCAACTTCACAAATTAATGAATAATCACTTGTTTTAAGTTATGATTAGAATAATAAACGAAAAATAATAAGACTATTATTTTATTAGTGTTATTAATCTAAATCATAATCACTAATTATTTATGAACTAATTCATACCTATAAAGTGTTTAAAGATCATATTTATTTGTCTTTAATTAATTTTAATTATTTATAAAAAATTATGAACCTATTTTTATTAGGAAAAAAGGTACTATAAGTTAAGTTATAAGGAAAGTTATTTACAAGGAATAAATTAGAATCTTTTATTAAAATCGAGATGTAAACCTATTTAGAAATTAAAGATTCATGTTTATAAATAGTTTTTAGTATTGATAGTTTCGATGATATTCACTAAAATATTCTGTTTATTGATTTCTAAAAATGTAAAAGAATTACTATTTGATATGAATAATTTAATTCCTTTGGATTAAAGAAAGAATAATCTTTGAATGCATCTATTTATTTTGCTAACTCTAAGCATCTTTATATCTGCACTAATTAATTTTTTCAGTTAATAGTGTTTAATTGAAGAACTTTT